GGTCTCTGTGCTGACAGCTCAGAGCCTGGAGCCTGTTTCAGATTCTGTGTCTCCCTCTCTGTCTGCCCCTCACCTGCTCATACTCTGTGTCTGTCTGTCTCTCTCTCTCTCTCTCAAAAATAAAGAAAACATTTTTAAAAATTAAATAAAAATTTATATTAAGGGACCTCCTTGTTTTTCTTCTGCGTGTCCTCCATATACTCCACACTCTATACAGAGCACAGAGAACATACCATAGCATTTGCTGTGCTTAACATCTTTAAACGTCTTCCCCTTGCTCTTGGGATAAAAACTACAAATCTTTATCACAGCAGGGGAGGTCCTGCTCCGTCTCTTTAGCCTACTTTGAAGAGATGCATTTCCCTGTGTCTTGTACCTCACCCACACTGGGTCCCCTTCACTTGCTGGAACCCTGAGCTCTCTCTGGCCATAAGGACTTCAGGCAGACTCCCTATGTCAGGAATGCTCTCCTGCTCACTTCCTTAAACTCGTTAGCTTCCTCCTTGGTCAGATATCGGGAGCCCCACCCCACCACCCCCGCCACTGTTTAGGCTAGTTCCTTATTCTCTAAAGGATCCCTTTCCTTCTGAACATCTGTGTCAGTTTGTTATCAATCAGGCCTTTAGACCTGTAGTTCTCAAAGTGTGATTCCCAGACCAGTAACACGGGCACCACCCGGGAACTTCGACATGGGAATGCTCATGCCAACCCAGACCCACTGAGTCACAAGCTGGGAGTGGGTCCCTCAATCTTTAGTGTAGCAAGCCCTCCAGGTCATTCTAGTGAAGGCTCAAATCGGAGATCCGTAGCTCCAAGCAGTTCTTGTCTTTTTTTGCTCAAAATTCCATACCTCAGTTTCTAGCACAACTTCTGGCTTGTGGTGTGTTCCCAATAATTATTTGTTGAGGGAATAAAATATAGAAAATTAAAGCCTGACCTATTTTTAGAGGGGGGGAAAAAAAAAACCTTTTGCCAGTGCCACCATTTAACATATCCAGAAATTCAAGTAAATTCCGTAAGTTAATACATTTCTAGTCTTTGAATTTTGATTTTATCAGATGCCTATTGAAATATTTTCAGTGTATCTTGGACAGATGGATGATCTTACTGTTTTCTAACTGACCAAAGTGATAAAATAGGTAAACGTGGAATAAGTAAATTGGGTTGGGAATAACAGTCACATTGATATGCTTCGTGATTGTCAATGCTCATTGAAAAATATCTGATATAAGGAAAGCTTTAAAAAATGAACTTTTTTCCCATATCTGGGGGGACCTTATTCACCTTTTTTCTGACGTAATAACTAATGTAGTTAGTATATCCAATTTTTCATTATGAACATTTCTGTTATTTTCATTAGGTTATCAAACCTCATAGTGGAAATGTTAAAATAAATTTTTTAAAAACGATCTCCATGTAGAAAAAATTTCTCATTTTTAAAGGAGATGGTCCCAACCATGTCTTGAACTTTTTGTCCCTGACTTATTTTATTTAAAAAAAATGTTTATTTATTTTTGAGAGAGAGAGAATGAGCAGGGGAGGGGCAGAGAGAGAGGGAGACACAGAATCTGAAGCAGGCTTCAGGCTCTGAGCTGTCAGCACAGAGCCCCATGTGGGGCTCAAACTCAGAGACTGTGATATCATGACCTGACCCGAAGTTGGACGCTCAATCGACTGAGCCACCCAGACACCCCCCTGACCTATTTTAAAATCCTGGTTCCTTAAAAAAAATGTCAGAGAGGGCTCTCTTATCCTTTATTAAAGACAAGAGTTAAGAGTTAAGTGGCTGACCTTGGCTCAGGTCATGATCTCATAGTTTGTGAGTTTGAGCCCTGCATTGGGCTCTGTGTTGACAGCTCAGAGCCTGGAGCCTGCTTTGGATTCTGTGTCTCCCTCTCTCTCTGCCCCTCACCCACTTGCTCTCTCTCTCTCTCTCAAAAATAATAAGTAAACATTAAAAAGTTAAAAAAAGACAAGAGGCCAGTGGCCTTCGGGAGAAGGGTGTCCTCTTTATAAACCCACCTGCAGGGCACGCTGGGGCACGCAGTGTTTGATCCAGTTTCCTTGATTAGAGAAGACCCTGGCCATGGAAACTGAGCAAACATTGCCCTCTAGCTCTACAGGCCAGGTAGAAGCAGCCTGTGGAACATTGGCTCTTTGTGCTGAATTTGTGCTCAGAGGTGCAGGTGGCTGGTTCCTTTGTTTCAGCAAAGGGTGCCCGGCCAACATGCTTGGAAAGAGACACCGTGTGGAATAATGCACTTTCTGCTAAAATTTATTACATCATGCTCATTAAAATTATTTACTAAGGACAGGAATGCACACATGGCTTGTGGGCTGTGGGTAGCCCTGCAGCCCACAGAAGTGTGCATTGGGCTCCCCGAGGAGGAGACAAAGACGAAGGAATCCAGAGAATCAAATCTGATCTGCATTCTAAAACCGGATTTGAACTTTTTTCAAGTACTCTGGTTGGCATTTACTCACCTCTCAAGTGCCCTGATTTCAGCTTAGCACCTGAAAGTACTTTGAAAGCAACCATATATATATTTTTTTGAAACTCTGCTCACTTAGAATATTTACCATGTGAAGCAGCAGACCAGTGATGACCCCAGGCAATGAAAACGGCAACTGGAAACTTAGTCATCGGAGCGTGAAGCTGACTTATGCCAACGCCATTTACCCAGGGAAGTTTCTAAACTCAGAGAATCCCCATTCAGCAGTAAGACCTAAATGTTCCATTGCTGCTATGCTATTAATGTCACAACCTCTTATTTTATCGATCAAATGTAGCTCTCATGCAATGTGCTGAGGCCAAAATCTCCATCGAGTGGATTCTATTTCCCTATTCGTTTCCATTATTTTCACATGTTTTTGTGCAGGAAAATAAAAATCCCTAATAAGTTTGTAATCTCTGCCTTGTTCGCTGGAACAAAGCCTAGCGCAGAGCGGGAGCGGAATGATTACTCATCCAGTGACTAAATGAATGGAGGTGTCTGTCAGATTTGTGACATGTTGGATATCCTGGGTGGTCGGTGGTATTAATTTCTGACAAGTGTTTTGTACAGATTTCCCCGGGCTCTGGGATTTTGTTTATTTCAGGAGGTCAGAAGTTCTCGAACTTTAATCCTTTCCTCCTCTGAGCAGTGGTTCTTACACTTCAGTATGCATCAGAACTATCTGATTAACTGTCAAGGGGAGCCCGGGGTCTGCACTGTCAACAACTGTCTGATTGGGAGGTGGGCGGCCTGTGGACCACATTTTGAGAAGTGCTATCTTCAAGTCTGGCGTTTGTGTAAATGTAATAAAATTTTACTGGAGTTCCAGCTGATATGTAGATACCAGGGCCTGAAAGGGCTGCTGGGCTACAAAATATAAACTGTCAGTCCTCAATTTGGCCAATTCAAAATATGACATAAAATAAGGGTCTTCAGAATTGCAGACCTTTCCTTGGAAATATTCCCCCCCCACCCCCACCCCCAAAAAAAGTGGTTTCATTCTCTTCCATCAAAATACCTGAGAATCTGATTTTTTTTTTTTTTTAACCTCCACTACTGATACCTTGGCCCAAGGCACCATCATCCCTCCCCTGAACTTTCAGCTCCTTGATAATTTCTCTGCTTCCACTCTTATGCCCTCTTCTGCCACACTGATCCAGTCACCCAAGTGCTCAATATCCTTCAATGGCTTCTCATCGGTGGGAAAGATGAAGTCTCACAACGGCCTACGAGATCCTGCGTGCTCTGGCCCATGATGTCAGGATCCTTCGCTTCTGCTGTTCCTCCCACTTCGTTTACCCCAGCCTGGCTTCCTCCATCCATATAGGCATGCACCTGCCTCAGAGCTTGGTCTTGGCTGTCCCCTTTGCTCCCAGCCAGATACCTACACAACTGGCTTGCTCACCTCCTCCAGGCTTTTCCTCTAATGCTACCTTCTCACCGAGGTTTCCCTGGACATCATATATGAAATCATAACCCCCAGCTGGCCACCTCCAGCACTCATTATTCCCTTTCCCGCTTTATTTTATTCTTCCTACCTTTCAGTGTCTAATAATATATATATTGTTACTCATTTATCTTACACAGCAACTGCATCCCCCTTTGAGGAGGCCACCCCACAAGGCTAAAGGTTTTGTTTGGGCCATTGCTGAATGCTCAGGGTCCAGAATACCTGTCTTTGGGAAGCAGTTAATACATACTTGAGGAATGAATAGATGAATCCACTGTCTTTTACTTCACACCTTCTTCCCACCTCTTATATTTCATGTTTATCCTCCGTTCTGACTTTAATTCCATTGTTGACCATGTTTGTTCTCTCTGCTTTCCTGTGGCCCGATCCAGCATCAATTTATACCCACCACCTCCTATCATTTGTTTGGCTTTGTTTCTCTTCCCAGTGAGACATGGGTCATGTTTCAGGGCCAATTGTGCGTGTGTGTGTGTGTGTGTGTGTGTGTGTTTCCCCGTCTTTTTTTCTCATCTGCTTTTGCTCCAACTCAGCCAGTTCAGTGCTCAGCTTTACTCTTAGAGTTTTCAAATTCCTGCTCAGTTATTCCCAAACCAATATAAGATGCTATTTGCTGTGTATAAGAAAACCACTGTGGATGTTCTATATATTGCATAACTTAACATCAAGAGGGACACAGTGAAAATGAAGTGTGTCCTAAGGAGTAAGGGAGGGAGAGAAGAGGATGGGAAGGCCTGTTTTGAGCCCCTGGACCAATTCTTTGGATATCCAATTTATGAGGAGACTTAGATCTGTTAGTTAAGGCTGCTCCTGAGAATTCTGCCAACTATAGTGAAATTAGACCACTATTTATAAAATATGAGTGATTGTTCCATGAAAGGTTATGTGTTAGCAGTCTTTAGGACTAGTACTCACTGTCTGCACTGTTGATTCATATTGATTTTGTGGTTCATTCATCATGCTTAGAATGACAAAGTCCTGGGGCTTAATCCACCAATGACTGCTGAGTAGGATAACACATACAGGCATATAATTACCTGGTAATGAATGTCCTCTCATTGATGAAGATCCAGGAAGAGCACTGGTGAGCCATCATATTCAACTTTTCTCCTTTTTTGAGATCATCTGAGGATACCCTAAGACGTGAGGATAACATTAATGGTATACTCCTGTGATGCATTCATAAATTAGTTTCTGACTTAAATTGAAATGTTTTGCTTTGTCCCCGGTGAGTAAAAGTATTTGGGACAAGTTTTTTAAGTAGTGTTTCTTCTATGGGCATGAGGGTTGGGAAAGGAAGGAAAGAGAAAGATTTTTTTCTTTTTTTTTTTTTTTTTTTTACCATGTGCCACAGATCTTATACTCTGTCTGTGAGCCACTTTCCAGATGTTATCTTACTCAATCCTCAGACCGTCCCAGCAGGGTGTGGATGTTATTACCTCTATTTCCAACACTTGGTAAGTAGTGGGACACATAATTTGAAACAAAGTCTGAATCTTGAAGGCCTCTAATTTTTTTTCTTTTCACCAACATTGTTTTTGCATTTTGGAAAGGTTACACAAATTCCAATTTTTGATTTTCTATTAGTTGGCCCATTCCAAGATTCTTTTCAAAGATATATTTTTTTTTTCTAAGAGAATTACTATTGAGGATAAGTGAGATGCCCTCCAAAATTTCAATTGTTAGAAAGTAGGCTCAGTTCAGCGTTTTAACTATAACACATTTTGAGTGAGTTTCTAAATGGCATCCTGTAAACCACCTTTTCATGACTTTTCACAAAGTGACTTGCTTGACAACAAGTAATAATGTCTTGTTTTCTCTGCTCTTGTCCCCACTTGACCTTTATAAGTTTTAAGATGTTTACGTGTTTTCCTGTTTTTGTTATCCATATGTGCTTCTGAGAAAAATTCATTTTATCTCTCATGATATATTTCTCATTTGAAATTGAAAATTATATTCTTCATGTTCTTAGGGAAAATAGTAAAGGAAGAGGAATGTATAATTTAATTTTAACAATCTCTGAATAAAGATGATAAAGAGGGCATATGGGCCAGAAGTATATAACTTCACTTCCAGTCTTCCCCTTGGTAATCAACTTGAGAGACTGACAACTATGGAATGGAGAGATAGGGAGAGAGGAAGGCCAACAGGATAGAGAGATATTTCTAAGAAAGTATAATACAAACCGCAATGTTGGCCCGTGTTAAATGCAAATGATTTGCAAATTTGTAAGTGAAACCCCGGGTCAAAATTGTGCTGATGATCACTTTACAGTTGATGGCTGTATTAGCTATGCTCCTGGTAATGAATGTATCTGGTATGGTTAAATTTGGCATAACTCCTGTCAGGAATTCTACTTCTGAATTTTTAGTATTTGATTTGGAATGCACTCTAAGGATTTTTTTCATTTTTCGATTTATCCACAGTTCTGGTACTACCAGGTTTTAGTGATTCAAAAGTTATGTTCCTGCTCGCTCTATAAATGCACAGGTGTGCTTGGGGTGTTTGAAACTGCTGTTTTTTTGGTTCGGATCTTACTTTTTATTGAGAAGTATAAAAAAGAAAAAAAAAAAAAAGAAGAAGCTACATGAGGAACTTTGACCGTCTGGAATAATAGTTTCTGAAGCCTTGCTGGTTTTACAGTTTCTAGTAAAATTTTCAGAAATTTATGAAAAAAATTTAGATGTCTTGCTCTTATTACATTTTTCAAGGAAATTTCCAGAAACTTGTGGAAAAAGAATTTCAGTCAGTTTTAAAGTTCTGCTTACTTGACAGCTCAGTGTTATTCTCTTTAAGAAGATACTAAAGTCCCAAAGGCTTCTATAATCCCCCCGCCCCACCAAAAGCATTTTATAATCATTGAAATCATTTTGGCAACATGGGAAGACAAGATAAAGTAGAAAAGAAATCCTGGATCAATGTTTGGAGATGTGCAGAAAAGACGAAAATGCACCAAGTAAACTAAAAAACTACAGAATCAGTGGTCCAAGGCAAGGGAGGATTGGCCAGTTTGGTAAGTCTGTTTTTGGAGTATTTCTAGAATGAGTTCTCTCCTATATGGTTCTGCGCAAGGGAATACATTTCTTCTATTACAGCCACTCAACCCAAATTGACTGAACTGTGCCCCAGTCCTGCAAACACAATTTTAAGTTTCCAGGCATCTAAAATCAAGCTCTGACTCGCAAGTGTTGATTAAGTGTGATGTAACATCCTTCAAGTTTCCTTCAGGCTTTGGAAACCGTGGTCAGATGTGAATAACATCCTCCTTTATGTCTTCATCTAAATGGCATTTGGGTGTGACCAGAGATTTTAAGTATAATGTTTTCCAGTCATTCCATTTTGCAGAAATTACATATTTAATTACTATTGCTTCAAGCCTATAGAATCATAGGGGATATAGCCAGGATAAAAGGCTAGGCTAGAGAGAAAAGTTCAATTTTTATTAAAAAAAAAAAAAAAAAAAAGAAGGGTAGGGACTTCCTCCTTTTACTTCCAAATTAGCTTAATTTGGTTGGAGTAAGGTGTTTGGAAGGTATTTCATATCATCTTTCTCCAGGATAATAGCAATCCTCCCACCCACTGCCCAAAACAAAGAAAAAAGAAAAAAAGAAAAGAAAAGAAAAGAAGAAGAAAAAAAAAAAGGAAAGCTATGTTCACAAATTCTCTGATGCATTATAGCACATTATTTGAAAATATATAATCTATTTGAAAGCTATGAGCACATCTCACTGGGAACATTGTAATAGTCTCTAAGCTGAACGCCCCTTTATGTTTTTACTATCTGGACCATCATATCATCTTCTTGTTCACAAACTTTCCTGGGATTTCATTCTTAGCAAATACAGTCCAGGTCTCCTAACCTGACATTCAGGTTTTCTGCAATTCCACCAAAACATCTACTCTTCTAAACTTAAAATTGAAGATTTTCTCAAGTACCAGGCCTACTGGTCCAATGGCTCTCAAGCCATTGAGTCTCTTGTCACCAGTTAGTTACCTCACACGAGAGGGCCCTCATCACCACAGGTTGATGTTCAGATTTCTGTTTCTTCCTAGTCTCTGCTCAAGTGGGACTTATCAAGTCTCTCCATAGTCTCTTATCTGCACTGCTCTGATGCCATTTTCTGCTTTTCACCTTGTATCATTGCTCTTGATTTATACCTTTTCTACTCCTATCTTCTTGCTGAAAGAACAGTGTTCCTCTAGTTGGGGATGTCATCTTCTTTGACAGCTCATCATTGGAAGGGGGGTCTCTTGGAGGACTTGTGATGAAAGGGACAGAAGCTTAGCCATCAGGCAAATCAACTCTATAAGTCAGAAGTTACATGGGTATTTTAGGCTGCCTTGCGAGAAAGATACAGCACGTTCCAGGAGCCCAACAGATCCCAGTTACTCATTCGTAGGATTTGGTCTGGGCTGTTTCGTTATATAGCCCTTGCTCTTGCTTCTAAAACCTGAGTTTTGACTCTAGATGCTATCATTTGAATCACCCACAAAAAAGGTTATTGTTGCTCCCTACTGAGAATCCCCTAGTGGTAACCTCATCGTCCAAACACTGTCTTCTCCTGGATATCTATTATTTACCATTTATTCTTTTAATTTACCCCTCCCTTCACCTCTCCTCCCATGTTCCAATGGCCTGTATCTTAACAAATGGTTCATTTTCTCTCTGAGCAGCATTTGACAAGGTTGATTGTTTCCTGCTTTTGAACTCCCCCCCCCCTTTTTTTTCTTGAGGCTTTTGAGACAAAGCAGTAACCACAACAAACTTGCCTTGTTTCTTTGCTATTTCACGGGACTCCACATTTTAGTCTCTTGTCCAGACTCCTCTGCACAATCACAGAATGCTGGTTAGTTCTACTAGCCTATCCTCGGCCGTGTCCTCTTCTCTGTCTACACTTTCTTCCAGATAATCGAATCCGTCTCTAACCCAACTTCCCTGCTGAGCTCCAGACCCATGTCACTACCTACTTAATCTGTGCTTGGAAGTCTAGAAGATATCTCCATGCAAATGGCCCAGACAGGACCATGGACTTTCTTCAGTCTCCAGAATTCCCTCCCTGACAATTCTTTCCCATCTACCCAATTTGGCACCATAACTAAGACTCAGTTTTATCTTTTCCTCTTTCATTAGAACGAGATTCTAATTCAAAAGTAAATCCTACTAATTGTACCTCCAACATATCACCTGAACTCAAAAGCTTCTATTTCCAATGCTACCACCCTGAGTCAAGCCATCATCATCATCACCACCTTAACTCCTGAATTTCTGCATCAGCCTCATGGCTAGTTTCCCAGCATCCACCAGTGACTAGTCTTCCATTCTCCACACAGAAGCTAGGATGATAATTTTATTAATTGTATTTATTTCTTATTTATTTTTATTTTATTTATTCTTTTTAAAGACTGAAATAAATCTCATCATCTGATGATTAAAAACTTGCAATGACTTCCAAGAATGAGATAGAATAAAATATAGCTTCCTTACGATTACCCACAGCATCCCATCAATCTCTTCAGTGTTCATTCCCTTCATTACTTTCCTCATTGATTACCTTTTGTCTACATTGGCCTTTTTGCTGATTTTCCATCAGTCCCTAAGCTCATTCCAGTCTTGGGGATTTATACTTGCTACTCCTCCTACTTAGAACACCCTGCTCTTAGACTTCCACATCTGTTTTCCATCATGCTGATCGTGGGCCAAGTTTATCTCTTCATTCAGAGGCTTTCCCTAAGCAATTCTCAGTCAGCCACTACCACATGATTTCCATTTAGGTATGTAACAGTAATTGAAAGGATCTTATTTATTTACTTATCTGTCTTCCCCAACCACAACATGAACTTCTTTGGATCAGGGCTTTTTGTATTTATCTATATACATCCAGCTCTTAGGATTTTGCCTGGAACATGCAAGGAATTCAATTCATATTTGCTGAGTGACTGACTAAATGTAGAATTGCAGATATGGCCTGAGTAATTGGTATTTGTAAATCTTTCTTGACCTCAAAGTTAACATGATAGCTTTGCTGAGATTAGAAGTTGGGTATATATTGAACTGAAGAATCACCAGTGGAAGTTTCTTACAATCACAAAGTGACATTGACAGTGATGGGCTGAAAATCACTGCAGGAACTTTCTG